CTTTTATCGTGTTTAAATAGGTCCCTGTTATTCCTGTTCTCTCCAAGATCTTTACCATGAAGGGATGTTGGATTTGGTCAGAGGCTTTTTCAGCATCTAGTAAGATGAGCTTATGGTTTTTCTTTTTCATTTGTTTATATGGTGGATTACACTGATGGATTTTCATATGTTGAACCATCCTTGCTTCCCTGGGATGAAGCCTACTTGATCATAGTGGATGATTTTTCTGATGTGTTCTTGGATTTGATTCACCAATATTTTCTTCAGTGTTTTTGCATCGATGTTTATGAGGGATATTGGTCTATAGTTCTCTTTCTTAGTTGTATCCTTGTGTGGCTTGGGTATCAAAGTGATTGTAGCCTTGTAAAAAGAGTTGGGCAATATCCCTTCTTCTTCTATTGTGTGGAACAACTTGTGCAGTACTGGTTTTAGGTCTCGTTTGAATTTGTGGTAGAATTCTGCAGTGAAGCCATCTGGCCCTGGGCTTTTTTTGGTTGGTGTGGCTGTTCTTGGCCACTAAGTACCAGTATTGGGTGAAAATCTGGAGATTTTGATGAACCACAAGACTCCTGGTCCTTTTCTGAGAAAATGTCTCTCACCTTTATTGTGGAGCAGCCTTATATACAAACTTACAAAAACCCCAGGTCAAAGGGTTCACAACAGGATATTGATCCCAGTGGGGTGAGATCAGGAAAACAGGAGGCACCTGTGGTTATGCTGGAAAACAACTCTTAAGAGACCACATGGGGGCTGGGTTCCAACATCTCCCCCTTCTTTATATATAAGAAAACAGTTATCAAATAAGAACTATAAGATTTTAACCATTCTATATTAGTGTGTTACTATAACTATCTTCAACTCCATAAAAGACCATAGAAGGATAATATATAAACTCTAGAACTGACAGAGACACCTTGATTCCTAGACAGTCACCCAAAGTTTCTTGGTAACCTTGGGGCATCCATCTTTAGCCTACTGGCCACAATGTGTCTGGCAGACTCTTTCATGAAACAGGGAATTCTAAACTGTCCTGCATTGGCAGTTTGTACTCCTCCATGAAGCAGGAACTCTTTAGGCATTTTCCTGTGGGTCCTACATGTCCAGTTTATAAAGCAACAGTTAAACAGTTTAGGCAAGAGCAGCTTCTTGCCCAAATTGGTCATCTTGCCATGTCAACATCAAACTCTATAAGAGTTTCTTGGATGCCCATCTTCCTCTCAGATAATTGGTGTGCCAGGAGCAGTTGTCTCTCTCTGTCAAGAAAAACCCTAAACCATTTAAATGCCATGTTTTCTGTAGGACTTTGAAAGGTTTGGAAATATCTATATATCTAGAAAACCTAACTAATATCAACAAATGAAGATCCATTCCAATACAAAGTATCATTTCTATATCATATTCCTCCTTTTTCCTTTTAAAAGTGATTGACTGTGACCACTATCATTTTTAACCAACCAAATTTAATTGAAAACACCTAATTGGATCACCTGGGCCACTGCTTCAGGGGGTCCTGCCCCATGAAACCATACCACTCTGGAAGCCCGGTAACATACCATCCCTTCACCCTCCATGGAAATAAAAGCAGAAATTTTCTTCCCAAGTAACCTGTACTTTTATCAACTGTTGCTCCTTCCCCAGCAATTAACAATTTAAAGACAACACAATAGCATTCTTTTGTTAACAGTCACACAATTACCATCACACTTCATACACACATGTGTGGCTACACCATACCTACAGAACATACATACATCTTTTGAACAAAAGTCACAAAGGAGAGGAGGTGTCAGGGATGGCCATCCTTACCATAGCTTAGCATCGTGGAGGGTCTTGAGGACTGCCGCATCTTTGTCCATTTCTGTATGGTCTTTTGTAGGGCCTGGGTCTTTTCTTCATCTATTTGGACATATTCTCCTTTCTCATTTTATGTGACAGATGATGTGGGACTCTTTTTTGGAGCTGGGTTGTTAGTGCCACTGGGTTCAGGGGATGAAGACATTGGGTTCTGCATAGGGACATAATTCTCCTCACTGTCTCCAGAGTCTGTATTGGAGATGGAATGGTAGTACTAGGAGGAGCTGTAGTTAAAGATGTGGTTGATCATGGACCAAGACTTGGTGACAGATGACTTGAAAGGGAGCTCATTGATAGTGGCTTTGCTTTTCAGCCAGGCTTGAGGTAGATATTGACCGGGGGTGGCTGGATCTCGTTTCCTTGGCTGGCAAAGTGATGGGGAACTGTGCTCATGAGGATGTCAGAATCTGGGTTTGTGGGCACATAGTTGTCATCAGAGCTGGCAGTATCTGATCAACCCATGATTTAGCAGAGATTTGGAGATTTAGCAGACCAGCAGGCAGTTTCTTCACCTCATGTTGGATACTTGTAGTCACTGACTAGAGGTCTCTGTTGAGGCTGGAGACCTCTGGACGCTGCCCCACAGAGGTGTCTTGTGGTTCTGTGTTGGGTGAGCTATGGCTGACTCCACTAGGAGGTTTCCAAATTCCATACACAGGGTGTTGCTGGGTGCCTTGATGGTGTACATGTCCTCACTATCTGCCTCAGACCCTGCTCTGAGCAGGGGCTGACTGGAGCTGCTGAATTCAGCTGGAGAATAGCAGAGATTATGACTGACTGAAGAAAGGTTTCTCAGGGTGTCAGTGCTCTCTTTAGTTTGACTGAAGCCGCATATCTGGCAGATGCTCTGGACTCACCTATTCATGTCAGCCTCTGTCTCAGCCACCAGGTAGAAGGTGTGCTCATTGGTAATGATATCAAACATAAACCTCATTTGGAGCTCTTGTTTGTTGAAGGTCAGGGTTCTTCCAAGCATAGTGCCCCAATTTTTCTCAGGAGGCAATTTCTCCAGCCAGCCTGTGCACAGAACATCATTGCTGGCTGACTGGAGCCTGCAGCAGGCTTGAGCAGACAAAAGCACGGGCTGCTGGGTCAGCTGGCTGCTGTTGGGTAGCTCTGGAGGAGGGATTCCTCAGTGGCGGATTTTCCACATTTCTTCAATAATTTTCTTAGCATTATTGCTTTATCCAAAGTTAAAATTAAATATTACCAGTACCTTGTCTCTTTAAACTTTATCTCTGTGATTGACTGTGATCTCTATTCCAATCCAACTCTCTTAGGAGTTGAGGCACCCCTTCCAGTAACTTTCCAATCCAACTCTCTCAGGAGTTGAGACACCCCATCCAGTAACTTTACAATACAACTCTCTCAGGAGTTGAGGCACCCCCTTTTCCAGTGCCTTTAAAATCCAACTATCTCAGGAGTTGAGGTATCTATTTTCCAGGGCCTTTACAATCTAACTCTCTCAGGAGTTGAGGTATCTATTTTCCAGTGCTTTTACAATCCAACTTTCTCAGGAGTTGAGGTTCCTATTTTCTAGTACCTTTTGCAATCCACCCTCACAACTCCTTACTTGCTTTCAGCCTTCTGAGGGTTATCTCTCAGGGTCCCCTTTCTTTCCCAATCTCAGTAGGACCTCCACTTGTGGCTGCTCTTGGCCACTAAGTCCAAATATTGGGTGAAAGTCTGGAGATTTGGATGAACCACAAGACTCCTGGTACCTGTGATTATGCTGGAAAACAACTCTAAAGAGACCTCATGGGAGCTGGGTTACAACAGGTTGGAAGGATTTGATGACTGCTTCTATTTCATTAGGGATTATAGGTCGATTTAAACTGCTTATCTGTTCTTGGTTTAATTTTGGTAAGTGATATCTCTCCAGGAAACTGCCCATTTCCTTTAGATTTTCTAATTTTGTGGAGTACAAATTTTCAAAGTATGACCTGATGATTTTCTGGATTTCCTCAGTGTCCTTTGTTATATCCCCCTTTTCATTTCTGAGTTTGTTAATTAGCATGCTCTCTCTATCCTTTTGGTTAGTTAGGATAGAGGTTTGTCTATCTTGTTGAACGTCTCAAAGAACCAACACTTTGTTTCATTGATTGTTTGTAATGTTTTCCTAGATTCTACTTCATTGATTTCAGCTCTCAGTTTGATTATTTCCTGGCATCTACTCCTCCATGGTGAGTTTGCTTCTTTTTGCTCTAAAGGTTTCAGTTGTTCTGTCAATTCTCTCATGTGACTATTCTCCAATTTGTTTATGTGAGCACTTAGTGCTATGAACTTTCCTCTTAGAATTTCTTTCAAATTGTCCCATAATTTTGGGTATGTTGTGTCTACATTTTCATTAAATTCTAAGAAGTCTTTAATTTCTTTTTTTATTTCTTCTTCAACCCAGGAATGGTGCAATTGGGTGTTATTCAATTTCCACGAGTTTGTAGGTTTTCTGCAATTTGTATTGCTGTTTAATTCTAGCTTTAAAGCATGGTGATCTTATAAGATACAGGGGCTTATTTCAATTCTTTTGTATCTGTGGAGGTTTGCTTTGTTGCCAACTATGTGGTCGATTTTAAAGAAGGTTCCATGTGGTGCTGAGAAGAAGGTATATTTTTGTGTGTTTGGATGGAATGTTCTATAGATATCTGTTAAATCCAGTTGGGTCATAACTTCTGTCAGATCCTTTGTTTCTGTGTTAAGTTTCTGTCTGGTGGTCTTGTCTAGTCATGAAAGCAGGGTGTTGAAATCTCCTACTATAAGTGTGTGTGGTTTTATGTTTGGTTTGAGCTTTAATAACTTCTGTCAGATCCTTTGTTTCTGTGTTAAGTTTCTGTCTGGTGGTCTTGTCTAGTCATGAAAGCAGGGTGTTGAAATCTCCTACTATAAGTGTGTGTGGTTTTATGTTTGGTTTGAGCTTTAATAATATTTCTTTTACAAATGTGGGTGCCTTTGTATTTGGGGCATAGATGTTCAAGATTGATACTTCATCTTGATGGACTTTTCCTGTGACGAGTATGAAATGTCCTTCATCTCTTTTAACTGATTTTAGTTTGAAGTCTAATTTGTTAGATATTAGGATTGCTACACCAGCTTTTTTTCTTGGTCCCATTTGATTGGAAAAATTTCATGCAAAAGTCAAACAGGGGAGGAGAATACAGTACTTAGCAATATTTAATAAATATTTTACCAAAGTAATTCAATTTGAAATTAGGGAGTTTTCAATAATGCATCATGTTGTATTACAGGAAGTTTTCTATCCATTATACAATGACATTTATTATTAGCATGAGTTTATTTTTCAGCTGTTGAGAAGCTGAGACTTAAAATGTAATTTCTGATAATGTAATGTTTCTGACAATGTAATATAACACCAGCGAACATTGTAACTTCTAGAAATATTCAGAAACTTCAGAAAATGGATTAGAATCCTTTTCTCTATTCACATTCCCACTATAGCATATAGAGGTATACATAAAAGATTATATTTTAAATGACAGTTTTAAATATTATGCAAAATGTTTCTTCCTTTGATAAACCATTGCTTTTTTGTCATGTGTGACATATTCTCAAAAAATAATTTAATAACCACATCATGGAAGCTACACAGTGTTCTTTATAAAGCTATCATAGAAGTTTTAAAGTTGTATATAGGATGACAAAAATTAATTAAAAGATTAAGTGTGAGAAACATTACATTTTCAGGTTACTTGAGAACTTATTTTTATAATTATTTACATGAGATTTGGTATCCTCTTAATGATCATTTGAAAATTCATTATCTTGTCATATCAAACATAATTATTTACACTTTACTGTAGTAAAATATTGATGCTAAAATGCAATTTATTTCCTTTGATTGGTTAATATGAACTCATAGGATGATCTATCCACATGCTGGTATAACAATGTCATTGGCATAGGTTTAAAAATGATGCATGAAATAGAGTTTTAAATAGTGCTATTTCTTTGGACCTCTATTTTCTGACCTTACTATGCAAATACATTGAATCATGTCATGTAATTTTATTGACAAGCCATGTAATACAAACTTCCTGAGGGCATTTCTATAAAGATGTAAAAAGATAAAAATGTAACATGAGATTGCTTTCAAAGACATATAGTGTAGTATTAAAGGTCAGCTCCTAGTAGTTTCCCTTGGTCATCTTGTTACATGACAACAATTATAGTTCCCTTGTACTCCAGCAAATATAGAACTGTTTTTCCAAAGTATTACATTAGCATATTATTTTCTAAATGTTGTCTTTATTAATATTTTTAAACTTAGTTTTATGTATGTATTGATTATATTATTTAGCATATGCTCATTTTACACCTCACTAATTTAATTTCATAAAGAAAAATTCAAACATGTATAATTAAATGTTTTTTGTATTATCCATTTCCCCTTATCCTCTCAGTTCTGTTCCCCACAATCCTCTTGTTTACACTATTTGTTTCCCTGAGTGGTCTCCTTTCTATTTTCAGAGAATCCACAGAATAAGAACAGAGGACGAGAGTGTCCAAAGAACTGAAGCTCCATCCCCATTAATTAGTATCTTGTAGCAAGCCTCCAAAACATGAAGTTTCCATAGGCTCCCATTGAAGCAAGTCATCTGTGGGCCAAGTGTTCCTAAATGTGGGCCAATGATGGACATTTCATATTCAAACTGTGAAAATTACTTCCATCGACAGTTTACTTCATTGCTCAACTGTACTTCATGTTATTTTGCAAATTGTCTGTCAGTGTCAGTTGATAATTTAGTCATAGGGATATCTTATTTTTTGATATTTATTCTTTATATTTTAGTTATCTGTCCAAATACTAAAGCCTCCCATTCTGTATTTTTTCTCTTATCTACATGAACTATTCACTTTGCTCCACTGATGCCTTTTTTTCCCATTAGTCCCATTTTAAATTGTGGGACATTATATCCTGAGGAATAGGAAACCTATCCAGTTACTGCCTATGTCTAGACAAAGTGCCTCTGTACTTTTACTTCTGATAGTTTAGAATTTGAGATCTTATATCAAGATCTTTAGTTCCCTACCAGGTAATTCTTTGATTTTTTTCAAACAAAGCTCTTAAGCTGTGCAATCAAAGAAATTCATGTTTGCTTGTTTTGATTTAGTAGTTTTGTTTTGTTGTTTGTATTTTCAAAAGATAATGTTTATGCTGCAGTGAAATGTGAATTATGTTTACAACAAAGTGGAATGTTTTACTGGACAACTCTCAAGTTGCTTGCATAACAAAAGTGGTACTTAGATCCCAGGTAAAATATTTTTGCAAGGACAAGAGAGAAAATGGTAACACTTCTACAATAGAACCAGGTCATACCAAGGCACCTCAGAGAGATGTACTGAAACAGAAAGGGTCATGGATGCACATGGAAGCAGATCACATGGGGAACACTTGCAGGAGTGCACTAGGTCACTGCTTAAATGAGGGAAATAAGACAGCTTAGCAGAAGAATCTGTGACTGAAGGAGGGCAGTGACATAAGCACTTTTGAGTGAAAGATTCACAATGGATGCCATATTTGCAAAACACCAGGTACTATTACTGCACCAACATCTGCATTCTGTTTCCAATGAAACTTACAGGTTTACTTGTTTAACTCTGAATTTTCTTCCAATCAAATGCACTATCTTCTTTTAAAGATAAAATATAAATTCTTTCTCTTGTGACCTGATGAATAAAACAGAACAAAAATACTTAGTATGAATGTTCAAGAATCTTATCTCTTCAATGAGTGGTTAAATAAGCCTATACAAGGCTTTAAAATATTCTTCATTCTTTAAACAGAAGCAAAGACACTTTCATAGCTGGAGATAGAAAAGTGGAATGAATGAGTCAGGAGAGATCAGTTCATAGTGATTTGTCCATCCATTGTAATTGCAAATCCATGTTGCTTTTATTTCATATCTTAGACTAATCAAATGTGTAAAAAGTCTATTATCACTAGTTAAAAACATATCTTAAGTGCATGTTGATAAACTCAGTGTTGTGTAAGCACTCAGTCTCTGAATGATACTGGAACATTTGTTTTTGTTTTATTTTTATTTTTCCATTATCATTACACAGAAAGCAAACAGGTTTCTGGGCTCAAGCAGTTTGAAGGCCAAGGTCTCAATTATGTTTTTTTCCCCTGTAAGTGGTCCTTTCTGTGTCTAGATTGAAGTGTCTTAGCCGAATAACATGGTAGAAGATTGTGCACTTAGTGTCCAGGAACTATTTTGCTTTGGATAAATAGAGTGCTTCACTCTCTTTCCTTTCTGCCAATCTTCGTTTCATAAGAACCAAATTACCTAAATGGAGAGTAGGCTGTTAAATGTCTGAACTTCAAGATCTTAAAAGTACTGGAGTTAGTCCTATTGGGCACGTGACAACAATGGTCCTGTTTCTACTTAAACACCCCTCTCCATTATGTACTGACAGCATAGAGAAAGGTATTGTCCTGAACTACCAATGTTCATGTTCAATGAGGGAAATCAATAACTTTACAGAACAGCTTTTCATTTCTTTACATCCTAACTTTGACTGAAGGATTCATTAGATGGGAGGGGAGGAGGTTGAAATTTCTAGTACTGTTAAGGACAACACATCCCCTGAATATCTTCTTCCTGTCATTCTGTGGTTGCTCACCCTAGAATGTATTAGAATGGCAGAACAAGAAATGTATCTTTAAAAAAATAGTAAAAATCTGTAAACAGCATTAGAAAGGGTGACAACAAAAAGGCAAAGCAATAGTAAAATCTCAACACCATATTCAGCCTGCAGTATTCCCCACAGAAATGTAGCCGCTGCAGAATGAGTGCATTGGTGGGTATTCTTGTGTATAATCCCCACATATATCAATTTCGTCATCTCAGTCTGAAGCTTTTTCAAACGTGTTTCTCCTCTGTTTCTAAAAAAAAGATAAATTTAATAATATGTGTAAGGAATAAGGGTAGGAAGCAAAAACACACAGGACAGCCAATTTAATTTCCAATATGACGGTATCCCAGCTTCTTTGATAGACTGCTACTGGCAGCCTTATTCATGATTAAGCAGATTTATTTTTCAGCTTTCCTAAGAAGTACCTCTACAGTGGTAAAATGTCATTTTCAAATCGGACTATAGCGAATGATATTAAAGGAGACTCTTGTTTCACTCTTAAGAACATTTTAGTAAGATTTAGAAGTGTTAATTCATTGCAATTTGGTTAATATGGGTAAAATATTCAAAAACTTTTGTAATTTTCCAAACACTTTCACTGCTAGTAAAGTATGACATACATTATATGTTAAGAAAGTGTCCATCAAAACACAGATGCCACTTCTGTTTGAAACATGAGGAACATGCACACACACACACACACACACACACACACACACACACACACACACACACACTATATATTTCCTTATGTATCAAAGCAATATTAATTATTCTGTTAAAACAAAGTAGCAATGAAAGCACTAAATTCTGTAAACTCTTTCAATGATTTTAGCAGCTGGTGGTCAAATAGATTAGGATAGTGAATTAATTCTGAAAGCTTATTATGTTATTTATATAGTCAGCATATCATTCATCTAAAACTCACAAATAGGCACATAGTCATTTAATAATCTTAGTAGTTTTGGGTTCATTTATCTATTTATCTATTCATTTATCTATTGTGGAATATAATAAGATCTTTTTATTCTTTAGTATGGATTTTGATTCTGCTTTCAAAATTTGAGGCTTTGATATATAATTATAGAAATAAAAACAATGCTGCTCAATGTGGCAGCTAAACAGAAATGATGCATTAGACTGTCTGCCAGTTGTTAAATAAACAAATTATTGATTTACCTGTCCTGTTTATAACTCAATTGTTTGTATCTTCCTCCCCAATAATTACCTTGTCAATCAATATGATAGAAAAGGTCAATCATATGTGGAGAACAAAGAGGTCTAACTTGAACCATCATACAACAGGGACATCCTCATGACAATTACTGAAACTTCTGAGAGTTCCAGGTACTTTTGACCTCAATGGAGCAAAGAACCTTCAGAAGCTAACCTCTTCCCATACTGATAAACATACTCACAAGATCCAGGAGTCTGAGACATTAAAGGGGAAATTTTGACAAAGTTAAATCTTTGCAGCTTAAAACACAGCCACTCAACAATGTATAAAACATAATGTTATGATCCCCTACTCTCTGTCTGTCTTCTCTCTCTCTCTCTCTCTCTCTCTCTCTCTCTCTGTTTCTGTCTGTCTCTCTTCTTAGTATCATAGTTAAAATAATAAGAATATATAAACTCAGAAGGAAACAAGGAAAACTTTATTGGAGTCTGAAAGTGAGGAACAAATATGACACATTTTGATTTTATCTAGTGAAAATGAAGACATAGGAAGAGGTCAGAGGAAAAAGATAGATAAGAGGAAGAGAGAAAGTGGGGCCTTGGCTTAGTAGTCAAGAATGCTCAACAGTGAAATTGTTGAGCAACTGTGAGTTTATGATAATACTCACAGTGTATAAAGCACAAAGCACAAAGTATTTTAGCAAGTGTTCCAATTTTCTTCTTTTGGTGCTGGGACAAAACCATAACCAAAAACAGCTGGAAGGAAGAATATACTTCTTAGTTATAGTTTATAGCTCAGCATCAAGGTAGCTAAGGTGAGACAGAGAACATGGAAGACCTTTCTTATATAATTCATGATCACCCACCCAGAGGTAGCACTACTCATAGTGTTCTGGATTCTCCTGTATCAATTATGTTTTTTAGATACAATTTTACTATGTAGCCTTGGTTTGTCTGGAATTTATTATACAGACAAGGCCTGCTTTGAAATTATGGAAATCAGTCCACTTCTTTCTTGGGAGTTCTAGTATGATAGCTACACATAACCACAAAAGGCTGTGTCAGTTCTTTCAAAGAACAACAAAACACCTGCACAGATAATAGGTTGGAAATATTAAAGGGATAAATATTTTATTCTTAAATTTCTAAAATAGTCATACTTTAATAGGAGAAAACCACAATTTTCTAATGAGAAGCAGTAAAGTTCTAATAGGTTCACCTTTTCACATGGTTCTTCAAATCTTAAAGAGTGACAATAGTGACACCTTCCATTTCACCCAGGATATTAGATCCAAAGCTTATTATGAAGAAAGAAAATCCAATCTTAATTTCCTCTTGGCCTCCTAATATTTGATCAACTACCTAACAAAACCACTTGAAGTGCTGGCATGGTTCCACATGGCATCAAGAACTTGGTTGGTGGAAGTTAATTTTTGTTGAGTTTTAAAATGATTTATATAATCCTCACAAAGATGAGAGAACAATAGAGAGCTGGCTAATAAATCATATTAAGAAAGCACCAATGATACATTATCTCTAGACTTGCAACATGAATGTCACTTTGTCCACATCATTGAAATTCTAAAGTCCATCTGTGTTAGAGAAGGTCCAGGGTCAGATGATGTTTTTACTTACAAGTAACTTTTCTTCACACAAATAACAATAACAAAACATAGTGACCCAAGCATCTCACTATTTGAACTATTAAATGCAAAGTCATTCTCTTCATTTCACATTCACAAAAGCTAAATATTCATTCTATATTTTCATTTTATAGATCAGTGCATCTCATTCCCCAGTGATATTTCAAGGTTCATCAAATAACTTTACTTCATCTGTGTGAACACTAACTATACTGTCTCCTCCTATACTGAGGAGATTCCCAGACTCTTAGAAATCAACTCAAGGAAATTCACTTCCACCCTAGTTCAACTGTACCACTATTCCTTACAATTAACACCATGGAACTCTTGTTGCTCATGAAGCTGTTATACTTTTGCATTTAATTTTTACTTATATCTCTTTGATATTATTAAACATCATTGATGCTCTTTCTCTACTATTGTCTTCATAATCTCTATTCCTTTCCTTCATCTTTCCTGGAATAATATATGACTTTATTTAAATTGTGTTGTTGAGAAAGTCTGACTCTGAACATTTATATACATATCTAAGAACTATCATAAGGCAATTGGAGCCTATCATCTCTAACATTAATACGGGTTCTGCAGTTTAGGTTTGTGGAATATGCCTCAAGATATGCTACATTCTTATGGTGTGGAATATTTGTTTGATGATACAAAGATGTGCTGTATTCTTTTGTGATATATCTGTTTAACTCTGTATATCTGAGTTATTTTGCCTGCCTAAAACACCTGATTGGTCTTATAAAGAGCTGAACAGCCAATAGCTAGGCAGGAGACAGATAGCCAGGGTTACAAAACAGAGATAATAAATAGAAGGAAAAAAAGTAGTCTTGATAGAAGAGAGAAGAATGAGGAGTGGGAAAAGGAGGAAAGGAGGTCCCAGTGGCAAGCCACCCAGTGACATGGCTGGCCATAGTGTAAGAAAGAAAGAAAAATACACAGAATAAAGAAAGTTAAAAATACCAGTGGCAAAACATAATTAGAGAAATGAGGTAATTTAGAAAATCTGACTAGAAGCAAGCCAAGCTAAAGCCAAGCATTTATAAGTAAGAATAAGTCTCCATGTATTTACCTGGAAGCTGGGTAGTGAACACCCAAAAGTAAAACAAGGAAACAAAAAACTACAGTATACATTTATTTCCCTCTTTCTTGTACCACCACTGGCTAGAACCACAATTTTTTCTACACTATGCTAGAAAATAAATCTTT